TGACCCCACCAACTGCCATCAATATTTTTAGGTAAAATAGTGATGCCCCAGGTTCTCGTGCATTGAGGCACGATAAATAATCCTGGGCATGCGGGGTCCTACCTTCGTCGTGCAAAATAACAAAATGAATAGGTCTTTACTGGTGGTGGAGCAGGGTGAGCTGCGCCCTGCCGGTGCCTGCCCTCCCATGGTGCCTTTCCTGCGTGGGCAACCTTGGTAGGTAAAATAGTGATGCCCCAGGTTCTCGTGCATTGAGGCACGATAAATAATCCTGGGCATGCGGGGTCCTACCTTCGTCGTGCAAAATAACAAAATGAATAGGTCTTTACTGGTGGTGGAGCAGGGTGAGCTGCGCCCTGCCGGTGCCTGCCCTCCCATGGTGCCTTTCCTGCGTGGGCAACCTTGGTCCAGCTCCTCAGCAGCGTGTCCTCCCCTACCTCACCCCTCTTTCCAGACCAACCCGACAACCCCAGCGAGGAGAACTGCGGGGTGATCCGCACCGAATCATCGGGGGGGTGGCAGAACCGCGACTGCGGCATCGCCCTCCCCTACGTCTGCAAGAAGAAACCCAACGCCACCGCCGACCCCTTCCTGACGGGTGAGCCGGGGGAGGAGTAGCACCGGGAACGGGTACCCTTGTATCCCGGTCGGGTGTGCTCCCATCCCGGCACAATCAGGGGATGCTGCCCATGTGCCGGAGCAGCCTGTGAAGATGCCCCAGCTTGCTGGTGCCCTGGATGTGTGGAGCAGTGGTTGAGCTCCTCGGGGTTGCCTGGGTTTGGAAAGAGTCCTCCCCCAAGAACATCCCCCGAGAAGCGCTGGGTGCAATTACGGGTTGGGTGGTGGGGGAGGAATGGAGAGCAGCGGGAGGTCCCCCGTGGTCCCCAGGAGATGGGCTGCTCTCGGCTCTGCCATCGCTCCTCCAAATCCAAAGGGATTTTGGTTTGTCCCCGGAGCTCTAAAGCCGCCGTTGCCCGCACCTTGCCATTGCGTGTTACGTTTTGGCCGTAGCTTTCCCGCTGTTGCTTTGGCTTGGTCTCCTGAGCACCCGGTGGGAGTGTGGTCCCCTCCCTGCCAAGGAAAGGGTTGGAGAGCAGGACAGGAGCCCTCAGGCTGCCCTTCGTCCTGCCAGACTCGTGGTCGGAGGTGAAGGTGGACTGTGAGCCCAGCTGGCAGCCCTTCCAGTCCAACTGCTACCGTCTGGTGGGAGAGAAGAAGAGCTGGCAGGAGGCGAAGAAGACCTGCCTGCGGAGCGGGGGGGGCCCGGTCAGCATCCACACCCTCTCCGAGCTGGAGTTCGTCACCAAGCAGATCAAGCAAGGTAAGGGGGAGCCCGCTGTGTCTGCAGCACCCTTCCCGTTTGATTGTGGGGTCCACGGAGAGGTCACTTCGGGGTGATGGAGGCTGCAAAGTTGAATTAATTTGTGGCTGTGAAGGGAGCGGAGACCCCAGGCTGGGAGGTGAAGTCTTGTGTTGCTTGGAGGAGCCTGTGCCCCAGGCGCATCCTCCATCCAGCAAATGTAAAAGCTGTTCCCGGGACCCTGCAGTGCCGAGGATGAAAATGCACGGCTGCAGCTGGGAACGGCACTTGTGGCAGTTGGTTAATGTAGAAAAAGATGGGGAAAAAAAGTCCTGCTGGGCTTGGTGGAGGAGGCTGCACCTCTTCCTGCTAAATCTGCCCAGGACACGAGCGTCCCCCGCCGCAGGTCGAGGGAAGGGGGAACGCCTGCCTGCGGCATCCCAGGTTTCTCTTTCCAGTTCTGGCTTCACCCAGGGGTAATTGGGTTGAAGTTTCCCACGTCGGGATGTGTCGGAGCTGGGATGGTACTTAGGAAGTTTCAGCCTGAGCAATGACGCGGTGGTACGGGGGAGCACCCCTGCCACCATCCTCTGGATGCTGCTTGTGCCACCCCTCATTCGGGTCACCCTCGGCTCGGGTTTTGCGGTTCCCACACCAGCGCAGCCCCTCCAAATTACGCACTCCCACGAGCCCCCAGCCCGGCCCTGCTCCGCAGCGGGAGACCCTGGCAGCATGACCTGCCACGGGGATGTCGGGGGGACCCAGACTTCAGCGGGGACCGGGCAGGGGCCAAAGGGAGTGAACGCTGAGGGAGGAAGGCAGGGGACCTGCCAGCACTCCCAGGCTGGGAGCAGACTGGGATGGGATGGGAGGGAATGGTTGAAAACCATCAACTCACTGGACCTGAGCCTGCAGGTCTGGACTTTTACCGTTCTGCTGCTGCCAGCATCTCTCTGAAAACTGCTGGGAAATGTCCCTGTGGTTTGCCCTCCATGGGTCCATCCTTGCAGGCAGGACCTGCCTCCGCCTGCCTCCCCCCGCCTCCCCCCACCCCTGGGGTTAGAGACTGAGCCCCGCAGCGGCGTTTTGGCAGGTGCTTTGCGGAGACCCGGTCCCATCGGGGATCTCATGTCACTGGGGAGGGGGGGTTTCTGCAAGGTTTCAGCCAGGCAGAGGGAATTTCATCCCCGGACCCTCCTGTCTCAGCAGACGTGGAGGAGCTCTGGATCGGCCTAAATGACCTCAAGCTGCAAATGAACTTTGAGTGGTCGGATGGGACGCCCGTGAGGTTCACGTACTGGCACCCCTTTGAGCCCAACAACTTCCGTGACAGCCTGGAAGACTGCGTGACCATCTGGGGACCGGTGAGAGCCCGGGGTGGGGGGTTCATCCCGCACCTCCACGGAGCGGTGCAGCATCCTCATGGCTGGGGAAGGGATACCTCGGGGAGCATCT